ACAACTTATTTAAGTTTAAAACATACAACAAAAAAAAAAAGAAAAAAACTTATCCCACTGTGCATACACACAGAATATTTGGGCTAAAAAAAAATAGTTTATCCAATATATAGAATTAAATGACAACAAACCCTTAAATACAAGAAATAAAGAAAAAAAAACTAAACAAAGATAAAATACATAAAAATATTTACCCCACTGTGCAAACAACACTTGGAAATGCAGAAGAAATATTTTACCTCACTGTGCGAGAGCAACACTTAAAAATGCGTAGGAAATATTTTACCCCGCTGTGTGAAAGCAATAAATCCATCACCCAGACCAATTTCAAACCCCATTATCAATGTAATCCTGGTCACGGCACCAAAATGTAATGTACACACTATGTATTTTCGTAACCCGATTCTTTAAGTATAGTGAAATACTTGTTTTGGCATATTCTTGATCGTCTAGTTAATTTACTTACTTTATAAAAATTAGTACTCTACGTTGTGTATTTACTTACATTGATAATAACGTTATTTTGAAATTGGTCAGGTTTAATGAAACACAAGCATTTAATTTTTAAACCCCTGATTTAATTTAAACAAAGACAAAGGGGTGGCCCGTTGAGTCAAAGCACAGGGAAAAGGGACCATAAAAACCCTGGCGACTTACACAGTTCAAATAAAAATAAAATATTAAACAAAACATAGTCATATGGGTCATAATCACAAGAATACAGTATAAATAATAAGTGAATAAAATAACATAAAAATCAGATAAACATATTTCATATAATTTGGGTGTTTTTATGAATATTCAAAACATTTTGTACTCAGGTAAAATAGTTATAATAGAGATCGTCATTTTATGACGAAGTGTTTGTTTATTTGATTACCTTACCACGCATCTTCGAACTATTGAACGAGGATACGATTTTATATAAATAAACTACAACAACGACATATTTCTGATAGAAAGAATTCATATGCTTTAACCAAGTGCAGATATTTAACCGTAGCCAATAACCACACTATGGAACAATTGCATACTCTGCGAAGTGATATAACGACAGCTATGGTGGTCCTATCTCACTAAAGTGTCGCTATATCACAATATGTTCAAATATTCTTACAAAATCAATGTCCAGAACAAGACAAAAGTATTGCGAAAATATACAAACAATTCTGCACACAGAGTTTATATAGGTAATAACATAAAAACACTATTTTTCTTCTAAGGATAAGTCCTTTTGAAATAATGCTAATATATTACCCATGTTCAAATATTCATGTATGAGCACTCTCCAAACGAAAATACAAGTACAAATATAGACACAAATAAAATAAACAATATGCAATAAAATAAAATGGTATAATATATAAATAAAATACAAAAAAATAATAAATAGGAGAGAGTCATAACAAGAAACACCTGAACATGGCCAAAACTCTAACCACCAGAAAGTATCGCGCTGAATAATAACATAAAGAGATTTTTATCATATATAGTAACGTTAAAACCATTATCAAATATTCCAAATAAAGCGCTAAGATAAGCAGTTTAAATCAAAGTCTCTATCCAGAATCTATCAAAAGGTTAAACGATACTATTACCTTACCATGATATGACCTAATGGTAATATCGAATTTAATAATAATAATAAGAGCAATAATAATAATAATAATAATAATAATAATAATAACATTTTATAAACCTTACCCAAATAATACCAATATTATAATAATAATATTATTGTTAAAAGTTTTAGCCTGAGTACAAATGCAAAGAGTTAAAATAAATAAATACCTTAATACCGAGATTATACACTGAGTTTCAAAAACAATAAAATACATTTCAGTTAAATAAAAGTTATACAAAGTTATACAAAAGGAAACAGCAAAATCAAGGCCAGTGTAACTCAAAATAAAGACAATACAAAATATTAAAATTTAAGTTAAATGCAATTAATTCAGTGTATATGATGAACGCGACAACATAAAGATTAGAACTCAGTGTATGCGAGATACCAAGGTATTAAACCAAAATAATGAAATAGTGATACAATAAAAATTATTACCAAAAATCACTCGCTATTTACACATATTAAAATGATTAGGACCCAAGAAACTAGCAATGATAAACGTCATAGACAAAAATGCGAATTAAAGAATATTGTTCAAAATTATAAGCAAATTATAAGCAAAAAAACGAGGAGTTGTTTATCATTACTAGCAAATTTACAATTTTTAAAAGAGTACATACCTAATTACGGCAGAAAATCGATAACAATCACTATAGTTATATTAAAATATATATCACAAACTTTTTAGTATGCGTATCGAATGCAAGACTACACCCTTCTGCCTCTCTCTTCCCTAAACCTATATTTTAAACATCTCGGCCACTTAAAGCAAGAATGTGTAATATAAACCGTCTCCCTAATATTCCTACGCTCAGATACAAAGAAGTGAAACTTTAAACGCAATAGATTTTAAACATAAAATATCTTAAAACTATAATATTATTTTTAGTGGATTATTTAAATTTTCCTTGGTTAAAATAGCGCCAAATTTGAATTTAAAAGTTTATATACTACAGGACCCTTACAATACTTTGATTTTTTTTATTATTATAATTGCAAAATATTATCACAACGTTTTAAAAATTCTTACACGGGAAATGTTAAAGGTACCAAAAGTGACAGTTGTATTTATTGGAATTCCCGTTAGGATTTTTAACTTGGGAATCTACCAGCGTTAAAATCTCAAATTTTTCTGAGTAAATTAAAATTTATGCCTTAAAAATAGAAAAATATTGGCGCCCAGAAACTATTTAATACTTTTGTATTTTTGTATTGAGATATACAAGAAAGGCATTTTATTTTAACGATTGTGTGACATTTGACAACTGTCAACTAATTTCAGCCTCTGATTAAAAACCTGTTGCTAACTTCAGCCCGTAACTAAACCGCCATAAAGCCACAACTTGTAATTTTTTTGTATTTTTACTTACTTGGAATTTAATTTTATAGAAAAATAATACAAGAAACCAAAAAAAAGAATGTAAGAAAACTAAACTTAAAAACAAAGTTTATAAAAAAGTTATGATTTTGTAATTACAAATAGTTGTCATATTTATGTAACTAAACTATATATGTAGTTGTAGATGTACATATTTCATATTATACAAAATTAAAAACATCGCTAACATTTTTTCACGGTCTCTTGCGGTTTAATATAAACTGACACTACTGTATGCTTAAAATCTAAAGAAATAAAATATGAAACTTATATTATAAAATATTTTAAACAGTTACACAGAAAAAATATAATTCCCATTGTTTTTTTTATTAATAACAATATTATATAATGAAACAATATTTGACATTTATTTTTATATAAAAACATATATTTTTTAACGATTATAGGTTGTTGGCCTTACAAACCTTTATCAGTTGGAATTTAATAACAATTATATTTTTTACTCGATTTTTTATAACTGGCATTACATTATAATATTAAACTGTTATTTAATTTTATTAAAACATGAAAGAAGGTTTTAAAAGTGGATTATTATTATGTATAAATATTTTACAAGTAGCTGTTGGTTTTAATTATTATTTTTATTTTAAAGATTAACCTAACAACAAACTGTTAAACCGATAAATCTAATATATCCTTTCTGCATACGACTTGTCAATTTAAATTGCCTTCCTATGCGGTACTATGTTAGGAATTAATATTTCATAACGGTCAATTAAGCTTTCATTATTTTACTATAAATGGATTCAGGAATTATTTAAAGACGGAAATTGTTTTAAACCACCAAATGGTGGCAACCAAGAATACATCAATTATTGTCGATAATATTTATAGACAATAATTGACGTAATCTTGGTTGCCACCATTTGGTCGTCTAAAACAATTTCTTCAATTTCAATTCAGACCCAAAAAATGTATTAGTTTATATGCACGTTTGTATCACATCCTCTTTATTTTAATTGAAAAACTGCATATATATCGGATTAAAACGGTTGTTAGTCCATTTTATAGGAGAAATTTTGATTTTTACAGAAAAATTCGACTGTGAAACAGATTTCTAATACCTATTTGTAACAATATTTGTCGAAGGAAAAAAATGTATGGAATTTAAAACTTTTTAAGACACTTATTTTTATTAAACACTCGCTCGGGCCTAATTAAAATTCGTGGCTAAAATGGCGTTTATCATACAGGATACTTGTACTAATATTATGTTAAGTTATACATTATAAAATATCAATGGTTTTTTCTTTAACATTAAAGTAGATAATAAAACCACCATTGATTGTCGTGGTTTAGAATAGTAAAGTAAAACAAACAATTCTAAATTATAAATAAAAATTTTTTGTGTACGCAGTAAAAAAATATTTGTTAGTTTTAATCAAATATTAATCAGATTTTATGATTTGCTTTATTATAAATCAACATAAAAATACCAAAGACACAATTAAATAATACACCATTCTGAAATCATCAAATTATAAAGAAAGGTACAATATAATTATCAGTATCACTACAACATTTACTGATGTATTTCGTAACGTAATCTTTTTTAAATAGAAATCCGAATAACAATACTAACAGATTACTGGTAATAAATTATAAACACTCTGGACAGTTGTTACGAACATGTTACGAATTAGAATAAAGTAAGGAGAAACATAAGTTGCAGATGCTGAAGTCAGTTGAACTTGTTAATGCGTATTGCAATGACATGTCAGTGGGAAATGTTTTGATTGAATGCCTGAAATCACGTGTACTTTTGTAACGAAATGATTTGTTAAACATTAACAAAATAATCTGTAACAGTGTATCACCTATAATCTGTGTGTTCTCGAAAACAATGAGGCATATTTTATCAGAATTAATGATGATTATATATTACAAATACTAAGATACCAAAGATAACAATATGTTTAATTTATAATAATATTTTTGCAATTTATATTGATTTTTGGTTTATTTTTATTTCAGCACAAATCGAAATAATCCCGTGCAAAGTATGTGGAGACAAAAGCAGTGGTGTCCACTACGGGGTGATCACTTGCGAGGGCTGCAAGGGCTTCTTCAGGCGATCGCAGAGTTCGGTGGTAAACTATCAGTGTCCGAGAAATAAAAACTGTGTAGTGGACAGAGTTAATAGGAACAGATGTCAGTATTGTCGGTTGCAAAAGTGTCTGCGACTTGGAATGAGTCGGGATGGTGAGTCAAACAAACATTTCATTCTTATTATTTTAATTTGATATCAACAATGACTATGACTATGCATATTGCTTAAAGCTTTAGGAGTTTTTATTTTAAACTTGAATTTTAATTTTAAAACTATAATATTGTATGTTAAGAATAGAACTTCAAATTTTGTAAATGGTAAATTAAATCTCCATAGAGGCTTACTATCAAAAATATAAAAAAGAAATCTTAAACTTTTGAAACAAAGTAAAATTAATGTCTATATGTCATTTTTGCGCATAAAAGTGAGTAAGAATTTAATATTCACAGCAGCACATCTAGGTGCAGTAAAAATTACTTTGTAGTTTTCACGATTGTTAAAGTACAGTTACTCTATTGACCTATTCAATGCAAAATAAGTCCTTTATAATATGTTACATTATAAAAATAGCCCGCGATATAGTACTGAACTACATATATTTTTGCAACACTGTTATCATTTGTATCACAAAGTTTTATATGAAGCAATATTTTTTTTATATTTACCTTGTAAACCTGATTTTTCGCTTTTGTGCAATATTAGTTTACCTACATAATAATGTTGTTATTTTATCCTACTTTTCACATCTTATTACGATCTTTGTTCTTGTTTAACAAAGCTGGGAAAATCTGACAAGTAGACTATTATTCATTATCGTTAAACTCACACATAATTTACTGTATACTGTATTGTAAATAAAAGCACCTTGATTATTACCTTTTTTTAAGGCAATTACAAAGTTTTAAATAGTTCAAAGAACGGTTAAATAGAAGTCTATTATAAACAATGGTGACCGTTTAAAAGAACCTTGCAAGGTTAATATGTTATCTGCACAATTAAAAAAAATAGTAAAAATTTCAGGGCAATTTAAGGTCTTTTTAGCTGTTCATTTCGATTTGACTACTCTCTAAAAATGAGTTAGTCAAAATGACTAGTTTTCAAAGTGAAAAGGGAGTTTTGTAGTCCCCAGCAATTTGTATGTCCGACATTTAACAGCCAATTCTTAAGTAAAATTATCCCCTGAATCCGAAAATAACGTCAAAATTATGAAAGTACAGCAGTTTTTGAGGTATAGTCAATTCCATATTATATGGAAAATTTACTATATCCCAAAAACTGTTCTACTTTTATAACTTTTGATTACATTTTTGAATTTAACAGGAAATTTTATACAGGAATAGACTGCTAAATGTCCGGGATACAAATTGCTGTTGACGATAATTATAAGTGGCTGCTTTTTCGCTATCATTTTTGACTAATTTAGTTTTAGAGAGTACTTTTACTCGATGTCCAAGTCATCAATATCGGTTTCCAATGTACATCTAGTTTTTCCTAAATGGTGCAGATATTTTTTGAATTCATTAAAAAGTAAATAAAAAATAATAATAATTTCTGATAGGAAACTATGAAAGATTTGGATATCTGGAAAATTTATATATTTTGGTTCGTTTTCGATTTTTTTAGAAAAAACTAAAAAATGTGTTTTTCTATTAAATTTAGCTTTTTTACCATTCTAGGTAGGTAGATAAAACTTGGTTTCGTTGTATTTTTGACAGCTGTCAATGTAATGGCATTTAAAAAAAAAATAGGCTTTTTGGATTTTGAGCAACGATAGTCAACGTTTAAATTTTCTATGGCCTCCATATTGTTTTTTTTGTGATCTAAACCGTAATTGGGTAAATTTAAGTAAAAAGTTTATAAAATCGCATACGCTGTGGAAAACAATTGACAGATAGTTGGGAATTGTAAGGACAAACTAAATTTTAGGTAATTTTATATACAAATGGCGATATTTATTTGAATTGTTCAAAATGTCCGCCGTTATTATTGATACGTAAATGTCTACTTAAGTCTATGGAATTGATAGCTCGTAGAATACTTATCTTTTCTTGGAATGAAAGCAAAAACTTTACGATGTGGTTTTTCTGGATACAGATTTGTGTAATTTGCAGCTGCATCCACGAATTTTAGTAGTTTTCAATGTAAACCTTGAACACGTTAAAAACCAATATGGTGGTCATAGGAAATAGAAAAGTTTACTATCGTTGCTCAAAATCTAGAAGGCTTAAAATTTTTTTGACAATGCTTATATTGACAAGGGTCAAAAATACAAAGTCACCTAGTTTCATCAACATAGGTACACTGAAAAAAATAATCTCTTAAAATTAATAAAAATCACTTTGATTCAAAAGCTATGTTTCTTAATCTAAATCAAAAACTATCTTTACATACATTTTTTAAAATTACTTGAGGGGAGAGATTAATCTATTCGTTTAAGGATATTACAATATAAGCTCACAAATATTTCTTTAGATGATATTCCTCTTTTGAATGAAGAAAACGTTTTTAGCGCAAAAAATGGGATTTTAACAAGAAAACTGCGTCTCTTAATTAAAAAGCTTAGGAACTTTTTAAAAAAGAACATTTGTCTTGCTACAAAAGCATATACTATTGACTTAACCACATTTTATTTTGGAGCAAATATCTTTTGGTCCAATAGAATGTATTGCTTTATTCAAAAGCTTCCGATCTTCACTGAAACTACCAGCGTTGTTAGTATTTAAGCTTAAATTTCCCTCACCACATAGGCCTTTTGATTTTAATTATTAAAACATGCATTCAACAATTTAACTCAAGGGTGAGTTTCAGCCTAAATCGTTAAGAACTAGAAGATTGACTGAAAAAAAGGTTTACAAAAAAAAATTTAAATAAAAAAAGACATTTATTTTTTAATATAAACAAAAGCGAAAGTTTTTTTTAACACCAATAAACTAACATAAATATGATTTAACATAAAATTTTTATTACATATTTTAATTAATACCTTACCTTCAAAAACATTTGAACTTGGTTGAAAGAAGAAACATTCAAGAGATTTTGTATTTGTTTTCAAGAGAATTATACTTCTTCCACTAAGAACTTTTTTCCTCAAGCAATAAATATCTTTTATGCTAAAATATTGTTTCTTGCCTCTAATAGTTTTTTATCAAGAGAGTTGACTACTTTAAAGGTCAGCACCTTTTTTCAGGGTAAAAGAGCTATAAATTTTATAAAAAATTACATTTTTCAGATTTATCTAAGTACATATAACAAGTAAAAAAGTTTAAAGTCGATGATATAGGTTATGTTCAAATTTTAGGAAGACATACGTTTTTTACTTTAAAAGACAAAGACGGCATTATATAGTAAAAGAAGAATGGATAGATTTTGTTTGCAATACCTAACCTCTCTTTTATAATAATACAATCTTGCAATATTTTCTTGTAATATTCACTTGTAAAGTGTTCTTGTAATAAATAATACTGTAATAATTATCACTAAAGTTATCGCCCCATTTGACTCCTTAAAGGGAATACTAATTTATTTTTAAAAACATACAACCAACTATACATGTTTGCAAATACATACAACATTGTTGTTAGTACATATCCAGTTTAACATAAATTAACTTGAATATATACGTATAGAATTATAAACAAGTAAACATGTGTGTAACAAGTTTTAAACATCATTCTGTAGATTTGCAAAATAAGAAAGTCCAGTTTTTTATAAATTTGTATTTTTATTTTTTTTTAATGTGACCTTACGACGCTATTTAAAAAAAGTTAAATTCTTTTACGTTAAAAAGTATTTAATTTTTTGTTTAATTAACTTATCAAAATTTCCAATCTCTTATTCTAATTCAGCGGTTGAAAAATGAAAAGTGGGGATTTTTCCGCGCTCACTGTAGAATCTACATTGTAGATGCATTTATTGAATACGCTTAACTTAATTGCATTGAATTGGCTTGCAAAGTATTATTTATGTATTCCATAAAACGCAAATGCATTATCGGCAGTTTCTTTATCAATATAATAATAACGTGAAAAGTGCGAACGTATCAGTACGTGAATTGCTGAATCGCATCAGCTGTTGTCAGTTCGTTCCGTATTTATTTCCCCGCGTGACGTAATACGCGTCATAATGTAGTTTCCGCTACTTATGCACCGTTCACATCGTAGCCAATTTGGTTTAAGGTTAATTTTGATTTATTAAAAAATATATTACATTTAATTAAATTACATAACCATTGCTTAATACATTTTATACGTAAAACAATAAAAGTAAAGTTAAATATTATGTAGACACAGAACCAGGTCAATTATTGAAAAAAAAATCATAAACTGTAATAACAATAATACCATGAGAAATCAAGGATTAAATTATTAATAATTATAAACAAAATACACCTAAACATCATACACAATGTATAGTATAGTATACAGAGGGTGCACAAAGTATCCCTCTATGTATGCGTATATAAAATGACATTTAAATATTGGAAAAAAATCAAATACTAAAAAACTAAAATCCTCTCATTCGGTTATATTACAGAAAAGTTGTGTTATTACCAGCCTATGAAAATTTAATTTGAAAATTAAAAAAATATTTTAACAATTTATAGTTTTTATAGTTTTTAAATATTTTTCAAGAAACTTTGACAATGCAAAAAAAACCTTTAAAACCATTAATCGTTATAACTTCGTTATTCCTGAAAATTAAAAAAAAGATAATTTGACATAATATACACTTTTATCTACATTATCATCCAATTAGTGTATTTTTTGGAAACTAAATTTGTTTTTCATTGGACTATAAAAAAAAATCAAGGAATCCATTGATGTATCAAACTTACTCAAAATATACGAGGTGTGTTCAGAAAATAACGGCAATTGTTAAATTTCGCATGTTCGGAGGGTCCGGTTGTCATAAAATTTTCTTTATTATATTATATTATAAATAAATATTTGTTTCAAAACTCGAAAATTCCCGACATTTTCTGAACACACCTCGTATGTTCGCATGTAAAACTAAAATTTATAAAAAAATTTGGTTAAGGAAATTTGTAGGTTTTCTAAAATATTTTGACAACTGCAAATTTATTTTTTAAAACTTTTTTTGATATAACCGATTAACCTATATAATATATTAGATCCATAGCTTCAAATAAATA